TTATTTATTAGACTTAGGAGCAAGCGATATTATTACAAACATTTATCTCAGACCGGAGACCCGAACCTACGAGCTTTGAGACAAAGTACGCAGTACTATTCACACCATACCACACTAAACAATTCTTTGGCATCCAGCCAATCTAGCCGTTGGATGCAAAACAATTAGCACCAGGATAGGTTTTTTTCATCATGTGAGCACCAACACAAATAAATCTTATTGGCACCTACACACCTAGATCTCGCAAGCACCTGCGCATCTAGATCTTGTGAGCACCTACACACCTAGATCTTGTGAGCACCTACACACCTTGGTCTTGTGAGCATCTACACACCTACATCTTGTGAGCACTTACATACCTAGATCTTGTGAGCACCCACACACCTAGATCTTGTGAGCACCTACACACCTAGATCTTTTGAGCACCTACACACCTAGATCTTGTGAGCACCTACACACCTAGATCTTGTGAGCACCTGCTTACCTAAATCTTGTGAACATCAGTAATGAAACATTGATGTAAATAAATTTCTATGGAACCTGTAAATTAGTGATCCTCTAATTTACAAGAAGTGAAACACCTCAATGCTCAGTTTTACGGGGATTAACTAAACCTTTATCAACACATCCTGGAATGCGCGTAGTATTCATTCAATGCTTGAATGAGAATGAACTGAATAACGTGTTATTTGAGTGTCTATTCAACTATAATTGTATGAGAATTGTACTGGAGAATAAATAAACTGAATATATAAAACATGACGTGATTTTGATTTACAAGAAAAATAGAAAAGAACAAGATACTCTGAGAGAAGGTGTATTAGGTTTAAAAGATAGACTACACTAGGGTCATTAAGGAGACATGTTAACTGTAAACCAAGAGTGAAGGCTACCTTACTTCTCAATGTAGGGACTACAATAAAGGCTTAGGTTATTCATACTTATGTATACCCTATTTGTACATATATATCTTGCATCTCTCTCTGTATACAAATCAAGAAATAAATTGTTCGGAATACATCTAGTTTAAAGTCTGTATACTACATGAGGGCTAAAAGCTGCGTGTAACCTTTTCACCACCAGTTAAGAGTGCACGAATCCAAGTAAATAAGGAATGAAGTAAACTCTGCCCTTTCTGTCCAACGACAGCAATTAATCTTTCACGTATTTTCTTTATTTTTAACAAAAATCTAGCATTATAACTAAACATAATCTTTCGAAAAGTTGCGCAAAATAAAATGAATAAGAATTTCCATAAATATATTTCACTGTTTTTCTGGAGGGAAGGGAAGGGGAGGCAATATTCAGGCGACTCATTTTAGGTGTAGATATGAATGTTCCCAATAACTAGTCAATATGCAATAACTTGCTTGATCGTCCACTGGGCCTCTTGCTGTCTGGCTGGGAGCTGGTGAATGCTCTCACCAGTGAACGTTTCTTCTGTGGAAATTCATGTAAAAGTACAGAAAGCTGGAAGTTAGACATTTAACTGCTCAATAAATAACTTCACGATAGACCAAAACAAGAGTCTACCGGCAGGGATAGATCTACTCTTCTTGCCACCTCCCTACATGAGAACATAAAATAAGATATGAATGTAGGAGTACTGAAGCAAGCCTTCTGTCCCATATTATGAGCTCATTCTCAAGTCCAACACATCTCACTTCCTACGTAGAAATTATATCAAAAATATTGAGACGGACATAAGAATTAGCAACTTGATCATTGCTGATTCTATTTGCGTGTGATTTACCTGTGTCC